GGTCCGCTGTCGGCGGTGTGGCTCAGCCTGCGTCGCATAGGCTGGACGATGGTCAATGCCCACACTCTTCGCAGCGATCTTGGTACAGATATTTCGCTGCTGGTGGTGTGTCCTAGTGATGTGCATATTGCGATTATCGAAGGTGTGCAGCGGTGGCAGATACGTCGGTTGCAGCAGCACCTCTATAACACTGACCCTCCAGAAGGGGAGCCTTGGTTTCGTGCGCTACGTAATGGTATACGTGCTGTAAAAGACCAGCGGGCTCTTGGGGCCCTGGCGGCCGTCTGGGGGAATGTGGTTCCGCTACCTGCTGCACTTTCTGCTCTACAATATGATGTACCACCCGTGTGCCTCGCCTGCTCCGCTCCTCAAGGTACGTACGGACATGTGTGGTATGCCTGCTCTAAGTTCATCACCGACGACGGGGTCGATGCTTTGGGTGACGAGGTTCCTGAGGCCCTGGCTAAGCATAGGCGCGTGTTGATCGAGTCTTGGGCCTCTATAACTGGGGAGCCCGATGTACACTCTAATTATTTAACTTATGGCATCCCTCCTTTGCCCACTAATATTCCCGCTCCGCTTGCCAACCCACCTATATTTGAGTTCGGGGACGTCTCTGGGCCCTGGGGCCCTCAGTCTTTCACTGACGGTAGTTGCTTTCACTCTGGGGTCCCAGAGGTCTCCAGAGCTGGTTGGAGCGTGGTGCAGTTATTTGATTGTCTGCTTCCCCTGAGGGCCGTATATGGAGCGCTCCCAGGTGAGCGTCAGACCATAGGTCGTGCTGAACGTTGGGCTGTGCGGCAGGGTCTGGCATTTCACCCGCAGCATCAGAGTATTGTTTCGGACCTCCAGGCGGTTGTGCGTGAAGGCAACTCTTGGAGCCTGCATCTTTCCCAAGGCATGTCCAAGCATGCCTCGATCTGGAGGTCCATATTTGACCTTAAGTCTAATCACCCCCAGTTCTCTTGGTTCCCAGCCCATCTGAGTTTTGATGACGTGTTGGAGCGTGGGCTGTGTGTCAAAAGTTGGGCTGGGAACCTGTGGGCTGATTTTTTCGCCAAACTAGGGGCTAGCTCTCACACGCTGGCTGAAGGTTTTTGTGCGGCGGTGTCAGGTGAATTAAAATATCATAAGTCCACGGTGCGGTTCATTGCATGGGCTGCTCAACGTTTGCTTGAGTCTGGCACATGGACACAAGTTGACCCTGATCGTCCCCTCCGCCTCTTGAGAGCCCCTGCCCCTCCTAAGGTCACGGTCACTAGCCATGTGTTATTTCGCTGCGAGACCACCAGCACCTACAAATGCAGGAGCTGTGGCCGTGTCGCTCGCACTTTGGAGTCGCTTAAGAGCCTGCTCACGAGCAGAGACTATCGTGAATGTTCTCCTTCTTCGATCCAGCGACACGTGTGCGACCAGTGGTTTCGTGAGTTTGGGGCGGCTTTCAGGCCCGTGCAGCTGGAAGCGGTGAGGGTTGCTCTGGCTGCCGCTGACGAAGCTCAGCGCGTGTGCATTGATGAGGTCCAAGGTCCCCCGACTCCCGTGGCTGAGCCCGAGCCGTCGGACGAGTTTTCTGCGTTTCGGGACATGGGGCACGACGTTTTTCGACACCTGCATGTGTACTGTTGCAAGTTGTGCGGGGCTCACGGCTCTCTTGGCTCGCTGCGAAACCTCACGCAGCAATGCAAAGGGAGGTCCAAAGTCCCGAGCACCGCTGCCAATCAGAGAATGGCGATTAGACGGCTGGAGCGTGGGTGTCACCCCAGAACGGGCGTGAAGATTGCTGGGGCCGCCGAGCGCGACGATGACCGCGCGGAGCTCCGCCGTGCCTTATCTTTGAGGCTGCTGGAAGCGGCCAGTGTGCCTGAACCCGCTCCCGATGGAGCGAGCTCAGGGTCTGACTAAACTCGTTTGGTTTTTCTTGGGCCGCCCTTGTAGTCTGTCGCCCGTCGCCTCCCCCTCCCCCGCCGCATACGCGTGCCTCTTCCTGGTGGTCTCGGCGCTGGGGAGGCTGGCGGTCGACGTGGCCAGGCAGGCGGGGCGGCCCTCCCGCTCGGCCCACGCCCTTGTGTGTGCTGGGCGCTGATTGTACCGGACCACCAGCTCGAGGCTTGCCTCTTGCTGGTGGCGTGCGGTCCGCGCGCGCCTCCTCCTCCTCCTTCCTCTTCCTCCTCGATCCCCCTCCTCCTCTCCTGCCTCCTCCTCCTCCCCCTCCTCGGCCTCCTCCCCCTCCTCCTCCCCCTCCTCCTCCTCCTCCTCCTCCTTCTCCTCCTCCTCCTCCTCCTCCTCCTCCTCCTCCTCCTCCTCCTCCTCCCCCTCCTCGTCACGGGGCCTCGGGGCCGTCAGGAAGCGACTCGGGAGGAAGGAGGCAGCCCTGGTGGAGGTGGTCTCGCGAGGGTGGGGTCGGAAGGGCCCGCGCCTCGAGGGCAGCGAGGCGCCCGATGTCAGGGGAGGGGGGGGGCAGCGAGTGCTGCAGAGAAGGGGCCGGGGCCCCTGAAGGGGCCCCGAGGCTCCCACATAGAAAAATAAGACAGACACGCACAAAAAACATACACACACACAACCACAACACAACACAACACAACCTAACACAACACAACCTAACACAACACAACACAACACAACACACGAACCGCACACAAACAAACAAAACACACCGGACAGAACATGCAACACACACACAAAACAAAAACGAAACAACACGAACCACACACGCACGCAAAACACACTAAATGATGGCTCTGACTTTGCACACCTAACAAGGGGGACATGCAGGGCCTGGAAAGGGCACCTTCCCCGAGATCCGGGCGCCCTAGTGTTGGTAGCGCCGGACGTGCTCGCCCGTTGTCGGGCCCCGGGGCCCGCGCAGGCCGAGCTCGGCTGGGGAAGTGACGCAGAGAGATGGGTGTCCAGGGATGATCATCGTCATCAGCAGCATCAGCATCAGCATCATCGTCGTCGTCGTCGTCGTCGGTCCTCCTGCTGCTGCTGGTTCTCCGCCTCCTCCTCCTCCTCCTCCTCCTCCTCCTCCTCCTCCTCCTCTTCCTCCTCCCAAAACAGGGCTAGGATCGGGAGAAATCGCTCCAGAGTTTCGGAGCGCTCTCAGAGCGTTCCGGAACGCTCTGGAGCGGCCGCGGCGCCCAGTACATCCTCCAAGCCCGCCGATTCTCAGAGATTTCGAGCTATCCCGATCCGATTTTGTCCCGATCTTCGCGTCGTTTTAGTCCAGGGCTCTTGCCATCTTGTTCACGCCACGCGGCATCTCAGGGCGTCTTCCCCCCCTCTATCAAGCAGCGGCGAGACGTCTTGGCTCGCCTGCCGGCCCACCAAGGAGTGTTCTAAGAACCTTCTGTGGTCTGCACGAGGTGTTCTCAGCACACTTCTGGCCGAGGCTGTCTTGTCTCAGCACATCGGGCACCTGTTCTAAGAGCATTCATCGGTCTTGTTCTTGGAACATCTCTGGGTTCTGCAGGCATGCCGGGACGGTCGGTCCCTCCTCAAATCCATCGCTCAGGAGGGGAACAAAAACACAGACTCAATTAATCCTCGACTCCCAGGAAAATATAGGCAACTGTGGCAAGTGGGGGGGGGGGGGAAGACAAAATTCCAGCCAATAGGAGAAAAGGTGTGGGGAACCCGGTTACTTGTGTGTATTTCTTTGTGTGTCCTCGGGCCCCTTCCATTTTTTGCACGAACGAGATGGGCACGGAAAGAATGTGTACAATGCCCAACAGCAGTTCTTGTTCATTTTGAACAGGACTCGCTGTCGGCGCCGCCGCGGCCTGTGTCCATTTGAGACAGAAGGCCGCCTGCCCAACAGCGGCCGCGGTTGGTTTGGGACAACATTTCTTGTTGGGCATTGTATCCATTCTTTCGGTACCCATTTCGAGTGTCAAAATCCATCGTCCCCCCCCCCCCACGCAGCGACGCCCCAGGCACCGCCCCGTCCCCGAGGCCCTTCGGCCCTCGGCCCGTAGGGCCCTCGCGGCCCCCGCGGGCCCTGCGGGCCCTCGGCCCTCGGCCCGGGACCTCTGCTCTCGATCCTCGGCCCACGGCTCTGGTCGGGGGCGGAACAGAGGGCTTGGCATCGCTCGGACGTGTGCATTTTTTGCTTCGGCGAGGACCATCGAGGAGCATCCTTGATCGTTTGGCGAAAAAACCACGCACGGAACCAAAAAAAACACAGGGAATGGACGTCCGAGCGATGGCCAGAGGGGGGGTGGTGACTCGGGGGGGGGGGGGATATCATGGCGTCGGCCATGAACTTTTCCCAGATTTCATGGCGCCTCTTTTTGTTTCATGACGTCCCCAGCCCCCCCCCTGGGCCGCGCACATGCCCCCGGCCATGATTTGCACCACCCCCTCTTGGACGCCCCCCTCTTGGCCGCTTCCGATCTGGGCTCAAGTCGGGCATCTCCCTCTACAGGCGGAAGGCTCAAGAACAGTGAAACCATAGTCTGCTGGCGATGTGTCGTGCCATTCTGACTATTCGGAGGTGGATAGACCTCCTACCCTGATACGTCGATTAAGGAACTGGCCGTTCTCGGTCCGCGAGAGGGCGTCGCGGCCGTCATTTTTGCGGGTCCAGGTCCGTCGGTTTCGGTCCCAGGCCGTTTTCATTAAGGGGAGGTTTACTAAAGGGAGGTTTGTCCTTACTAAAGGGAGGTTTGTCCACCGCCGAAATATGTTTGATTACTTTTTGACCATGGTTTAATTTGCCTGCCAAGATCCGCCTGTAGGAGGACATGCCCCGGCTAACTCTAGGTTTCAGTGTGGGATCGGAGGATCGCGCCGCATCGCCGAGGCATCGCCGATGCGGCCCGAGGTGGAGCCCGATCTGCTTCACGCCGACGTCGCCGACACATCGCCAACGTCGGCGATGCATTGCTGGTGCATCCCCGATGCATCGCCGAGGCATTGCTTTCTGCATCGGCGATGCGGCGCGATCCTCCGACGACATCCACTCCGGCCCCATCCGGGAGGCTTCCATCGCTCCTGTCTACAGACCTTCGAGCCTCGGCCCTCGAGGCGAGCCCGCGGAGGCCGCGGAGCCCATGCCTGTCCGGCACACCTTCATCCACTTCGGCGCAGACGGCGCCGAGGCCCGCAGAGGAAACAGCGGCAGAAGCGTGCGCTCTCGGAACCCCCCCCCCGGAGCTTGCCTGGATCGGCGCTCCCCGCGCCAGGGGAGCAGCGACCCGGAGGCGGGGCGGCCTGCGCGCCTGGCGGCGCCGGCGGGGGAGCTGCTCCTCTCTGTGCTCCGCGGGTGCCGCTCTCGAGCGTCGCCTCCCGAGGCCGCAGGAACGGGAGCCCGCGGTGTCGAGGCGCCCTGCCCCGAGGGGCCCAGCGCCGCTCCAGAGGAGACCCCGGGCGGAGCTCCGAAGGTTCGGCGCGGACGAGATGGGCACGGGAAGGAAGGGGTGCGATTCAGGAGGGGAAAGAAACACACAGACACAGGTACACCGCACTCACATCTATACCCCTGGGTGGGTGTATGTGCGGCCGTTTTTGCGCTGTCATGTGCGCGCATGTGCGCGGCATGTGCCAGTCATGTGCCAGGCCTGTGCGGCCCTTCTTGGATGGACTTCCTACTGTGCACGTCGTGCCCGGGCATGTGCGGGGGCATGTGCGTTGTGTTTTGGTGTATCCATCATACGCACATGCACGCACAGTCCGACGCACATGCGCGCACATGCCTGCACATGCGGGAGGTGTTCGAGAATCGCAGATCTGTCATCGGCACATGCACGCACATGCCTGTGCAACCTCTCTTCGGGAGGCCGCGCGGGCCCGCACATGCACGCACATGCGGTGAAGCGCGCGGGCGCACATGCGTGCACATCCCAATGCACATGCACGCTCATGCCCTAGGATCTGTCTGGGACCCTTGTGCCTCCAATGCCTCCTGGCCTTCGCAGAGCTAACCTGGGGCGTGCCAGGGCTTCCTGAAAGAGTTTGTTGTGCGTTTAGACTCGCCCGCTGCTGGCGGGGGCGGTTCTTCGCCCGGTTTGTGAGCTGGCGGCGGCGTGCCCTCCTAGTAAAACGCTCTCCCGCGCGCCTTCTCAGCTCGGCCGGAGAAGCAGGGGGGGGGGGAGGTGGAGGGGGGGGGAAGGAGGGGGGGGCGGAGGAGGCGGACGCCCCCGGCTCGGCCGGCCCGCCCGCCTGTTCGGCTCGGCCAGACGAGGAGGAGGAGGAGGAGGAGGAGGAGGAGGAGGAGGAGGAGGAGGAGGTGAGAGTCGCGAGGATGTCTCAGGCGAAAATGGCTTGACGGCCCGAGCTCAGGGAATCTCGGAATCGCTGGCCTGGCTCGGCCACTGGCGAGGTCGGCCTGTGCGAATACTGTGCGTACCTGTGCGGGGCATGTGCGGGACGTGCAAGAATGCCGGGGCCGGCGTTCGTCTCCGGGCGCCGGCGCGTTCGCGTCCGCGCGCAAGCCGCGCGCGGACGAGCGTTCGCTTGATTGCGCGGCCCCGACAGACGGGGCGCCCCGCTCACGCTCCGCACAGGCGCGCGCAGCGCTCGCCCTGCCCGCGTTCGCCAGCAGGAACTGCACGCCGGAACAATGTTGGAACGACCAGGTGCACAAGGCATTACTGCACCACCTTCACAAGGCTTTGGGCGAGGTCGTGGGGCAGCACCCGATCTTACGAATGGGTCAGCCACTGTCTCCTGAGACGTCCTCGCAACCCTGATATCAATGATGCCCTGCTCGATATGTCTCGGCCCCTTTCGCCTGAGACATCCTCGGTACTCTGGGTTCCAAGACGCCCTGAGCTGAGGTGGTTAGACCACTTTCGCTTTAGAATCCTCGCCCGAGATGCCCTGAGTTGAGGTGTTCAGGCCACTTTCGCCTGAGGCATCCTCACAACTATGACCTCAATGATGCCCTGCTCCATAGTGTCTCGGCCTTTTTCGCCTGAGACCCTCGCAACTCTGGGTTCCGAGATGCCCTGAGCAGGTGGTCAGGCCACTCCTGCCTGAGACATCCTCGCAACTCTGCGTTCCGAGACGCCCTGGGCTGAGGTGGTCAGACCACTCTCGCCAGAGACATCCTCGCAACTCGGACCTCGGAGATCTCTTGCCCCATGGTGGTCAGGCCACTTTCGCCTGAGACATCCCCACAACTCAGACCTCGGAGGTGTCCTGCCCCATGGTGGTCTGGTCACCTTGACCAGCGACATCCTCGCCACTCTGGTTTCCAAGATGCCTTGCCCCATGGTGGTCCGGCCACGCTTGCCTGAGACATCCTCGCAACTCTGGGTTGCGAAATGCTCCGAGTTCAGGTCGTCAGGCTGCGACATCTCTGCGGCATGTGCTGGCATGTGCGTCTATGCTTTCAGAGTTTTGCTTTACCGTGCATTCGAGTGTGCGTCGGACGGTGTGGCATGTGCGCGCATGTGCGGCAATGCTGTTAAGGCTTTTGTATATTTGCATGGGCATGTGCATGCGACTGTGCGGCATGTGCCTGCATGTGCGGCCCCTTCCGGACCACAATTTCAAAGTGAGCACTATAGAAGTGAGCGCTATAGAAGTGAGTCCGGTGTAATCGTCGACTCCCAGGAAAATATGGGAGAAGATGGGAAGTGGGGGGAGGACAAGAGCCGAGAAGATGTGGGAGAATGTGGGGAATCTCTGTAGTTGTGTGTATCTATTTGTATGTCCTGGGGCCCCTTCAGCAATCAATGCTTAACAGCACTTCCTGTGCATTTTGTAACAGGGCTCGCGGTCCGCGCCGCGGGCGGCCTGTGCCCACTTGGAAGACAGAGGGCCGCCTGCCCAACGGCGGCCGCTGTCGGCTTGGGACAGCAATTGTGGTTGGGCACTGTGCCAACTGTTTTCCGCACCCATCTCGGGCGTCCAAGAAAGTCTGCGCAGCGTTCGCCTCTGCTTCGGGCAGGCGGGCGCCGCGGCGGCGGCCGCGGGGCCCGCCGCGGGCGGCGCGGGGCGGGCCGCCTCGGCCCCGCCGCTGCTGCAGCGGCGGGCGTTCCGCCTGCGGGACCCGAGGATCGGGCGGGCGGGAGCGCGTACCCGACCTTCGAGCAGTGGCGAAGCGTCCTGGCTCGCCTTTTTGGCCCTACCAAGCAATGTTCTGAGAACCTTTTTTTTTGTGGTTTCCACGAGATGTTCTCAGGACATTCCTGGCTGGGGCTGTCTCGTGTTCACACATGAGGCTCACGTTCTAAGGGCATTGTGTTTGTCATTGTAACATTTTTGGGTTCTAAGAACGCTTCGTGGCAGGACTACAGCAATGCCGGGAGGGTCGGTCCCTGCTCAAAACTTGGGAGCAAGAGCAGTGCAGTGACCCAGACAGCTGGCGTCCCGGAGGCACCGGGGCGGAGGCTCCTCGAATGGTCTGCGACCTCTCGGGGGCCGTCACCGGGCCTCGGGGCCGCCAACAGGAATGCTCGGGACGAAGGGAGCCCGCCCACGGGAAGTGGTCGAGAGGTCGGGGGCCCGCGCCGCGACAAAGCCGAGACGCCCGATGTCTTGGGAGGAGGAGGAGGAGGAGGAGGAGGAGGAGGAGGAGGAGGAGGGGGAGGGGGAGGAGGAGGAGGAGGAGGAGGGGGAGGGGAGGAAGAGGGGGAGGGGAGGAGGGGGGGAGGAGGAGGAGAAGGGGGGGAGGAGGAGAATGAGGATGAGGATGGGGTCTGGTTGGTGCTGGCCAAGGGTCTGAGCTGGCCCGGCACCGGTGCCGTTGAGCAGGAAGGGGAGGCGAGGCCCGAGGTCTGGGGTTCGACCAGCTGTAAGTCGGGCCTGTCCCTCTACAGGATTACCAGCCTGGAACATATCCCTATCCCGGGCGCAGCAAGAAGACGGGGTCGCTCGGGAGGGGTGCTTTTGTTGCGCTGTTGTACTTGTTTGTGCGCGCCGTCGGATCTCGGGGCCTGTGTCGGTTTCTCGGCAGCCTTCCAGCGTCGGGGGCTCTTCCGCAGCTGGGCCTCGCCGAGAGTTACCAGCCTGGAACATATCCCTATCCCTATGCTGGGCACCTCCTCATCACGATGCCAATCTTAGGGACTCCCTTAGCTTTTCAGGGCGGCTCCCTAAGATTGTCATCGCCTTTTGGCGTGTCAATCCTAGGGATGGGGATACGTTCGAGGCTGGCAAGCAGGAGGGATATCCAAAAATACTAGAGAAATAGTTTGGGGACGATGTTCTGGATTTGTTTTGCGTGTTTTTGACATATCATGTCAAATCCCTCTGTGGTAAGACCAGTTTTGTTCTGCCTCTGCGGGCCTCGGGGGGCCGTTTTCGGGCCGCCGGACCGTGAAACACAGACCCAGGGTGAAGGACTGCACATTATTTACCCCATGACGGGTTGGGGGACCGTTTTGAACTCATTTGCCTTCACCACCCCCTCCTGACCGATCTCTGGGGTCCCAACCAGTTCAGGCCCCCGCGCCGTCTCCAAAGAGGAGCGAGAACTAATGATGATGATACGTTACAGGATTTCCGACACTTCTGCAATGTCCAATTCGTTCTTCACAGTTTCCAGAACCAAGGAATTCTGGAATGATTCAAAAGTAGCTGGAGCAAATCGCATCATGGCATCGATCTCGTCCGAAGAACAGTGAGGTGAGGGGTCTGGTTCCGGAGAGTCAAGCAGTGGCGAGGCGTCCTGTCTTGTCTTTATGCGATCACTGAATGTTCTAAGAAACCTTTGGTGGCTTGCACGACATGTTTTAAGAGCGTCTCTGACTGAGTCAGACTTGTTTGAAACCGTCGGCTGCATGTTGTAAGGACACTGTTTTTTTATGATTGACGCTGCGCGTGACCCCACCAGCCCATCCAGAAACGATGCCCCACGAGTTGCCCTGATCAGGGATGTGGAGGAGAACGCAGTGGAGTAAAGGGCTGGTCAAGACGTCGTGCCCCAGGAGGGGGAGGAGGATGGAGAAAGATTTGGAGGAGGAGCAAGAAGAGGAGGAGGAGGAGGAATAGGTAGAGGGGGGCGGAAAGAGGACGATGATGATGATGATGATGATGAGGAGGAGGAGGAGGAGGAGGAGGAGCCGAAAGGCCAGAGGCCTCTTGGTTGCCTTTTGGAGTCTCTTCGGATGGCTTTCGAGAGGTTGTCCGAAAGGAATGGGAGATGTTTGCTCCTTGGGGCTCCCTTGGGGAGCGTCTTTGAAGCCTCTTGGGGCGTCTTGGGTGCCTTTGGGGGGCCTCTTGGAGCCCCTTGGGGGTCTCGTTGGAGCCTGATGGGGGCACTCGGAGAGCCCCATCGCCGCCTCTCGAGGCCTTCAGGGCACCTCTTGTGGGCTCCGTTTGGGGCACCCTTTGGGGCCACCTTGGGGCCCTCTTGGAGGAGATCCATCAAAGGAGGGGGGCTCCTTCCTGAGGGTCCCCCCCCAAAAAAAGGCCAACATGTGGCCAATACCTTAGTAAACTCAGTGATGTTGGCCTCTTGGGGCGTCTTGGGTGCCTCTGGGGAGCGTCTGAGAGGTCTCTTGGAGACATCTTTGGGGCCTCTTTGGGGCTTTTTGGGGGCCTGTTGGGGCTTCCTGGGCACTTCCTTGTGGCCCCATCTGGGGCACCCTCAGGAGCCTCGGGGACAGGGGGTGATCGAGGACCGCGTCCTCGGCCCTCGATCATCCCCGGGGGGGAAGCCATGGTCAGACGAAGGTGACGTCGACGTTGCATACACTGGCCATGGGCAGGGTGAGACAGCGTGACTGCCCAAGGTAAAGGCCCAAAGTAGAGGCAATCATACATCAACAGGAACAGAAGACCCCAGCTTGCAGACAAGGTTACAGATCAACATCTGCGATTGCGAGAAGGAGTATGGTGAATAAGCGGTTCAGCAGAGCGGGCAGCCAGGTCGGAAAATGCTACAGACGTTTGCACGAGCGAGCGCGAGTGTTACAAGAGTTGACAAAAGGGTTACTTTGCTGCCCGCTGATGTAGAACCGCCAACGAAGTGGGTCCAGCTGGGAGCGAGCAAGGAGCTCCCCACCTTGAACAGGCACAACCCGAGATGGGCCCAGGGCGCTCCGCAGTGACGCTGGAACTCGTGGAGGTGCCAGGGGCCCCTTAGGGACACGTCGGCCGGAGTGCCTCGATGTGTGATGCGCCCCAGATTCCAGTGCCAAAAATACGGCCATTGTGAGGCTCTCGGGCGCGGAGTCAAGAATGGCGCGGGCGAGCTCGGACTGGCGGGCGCAGACGGAGTAGCAGGAGGGGCGACCGCAGTCCCATGTGATCAGCCCGCGTGGATTGCAGCAAAATCGGTTGTGACCGCGGGCTCTGGGTCGCGCGGCGCAGCATTGCAACTGGGTTCGGGGGCGCGTGTCCCGCCGGAGCAGATGGGGGCGCCGGGGGGCGGGCGGCGTTGCGGCGCGGCGAGCGGCGCGGGCAATGCGAGGCCGGCGCCCGAGTAATCGCTCCCATCCTCGCCGCGGGCGTTGGAAGAGGCATGCGGGTCGCCCCGTGGACTCATCGAGGCAGGTCGCCAAATCGAGCCCGAAAGAAATAACCCTGGAAGGTTTTGCCGTTGTTCTGAGCGCGGGGCGACGGGCGAGGAAAAGCGGTCATGGGGCGCGGCGAGGCGCCCCAGCTTTCGACTCGAGACCCGCGCGGCACGGGGGGGGGCCGCAGTGCGGCGGGCAGGCGGGGTTGATGACCGGGGGGCTTTACCCAGCTGGGGCCTGTTCAGGGGGGCCCTTTCTACAAGGCCCCGCAAGTCCCACTTGCCGTTCGGAGCGCGCTGATAGCGAAGGGGGCGGGGGCGAAGGGGGGCGGGGCCAAGGCGCGCAGCGACTGGCGGCGTGGGCGACGTGGAAAACGCGTCTGCAGGCGCAGAGGCAGACGCGACCAAGCGAGTCGCGTGCAACCCTTGCCCCAGCAGCGCAGAACTAGAGGCGCGCAACGCGAGCCGCCTGCCGCGCCGCGTCTGGCGCCGGCATTGCGCGCGAGGCGCTGTGAAAAAGGGGGGCGCAACGTGGGGGGCAGGGTTGCGCCCGATGTTGTGCCCGTGGTCTCAGCCGACTACGCTCGTTTCCAGAACAAGCGTCAGCGGGGCAAGTGCCGAGGAGAAGGTGGCGCGTGAAGAACTTGGCACGGGTGGCCCAATATTGGCCATGGACTGCAGACCAACCCATTGAATGCGGAGTCGAGCTTCACGACAGCATGGTGCAGACCGTCGCTCCACCGACGTCATGGAGGACCTGATCGCGTTCGCCAGTCGCCGCAAAGCCGCGCTCGAAAATGGCGGCGCGGCGCCCGTCGCCGCCCCGGAAAACAGCAGCGAAGGCAGCTGCTGACGCTGCCGCGGGAGTTGCAGTCGGCCCAGTTGAAAGCCCGGCCGCCAATGCAGAGGTGGAATGAGCCGCGAGGGCCGCAACTGGATTAAGTCCGAGGTCCCATGAGCACCGCCGGCGCGCGCTTCAGCGCTTCAAATGCCGTCACTTCACACCGTGGGCAGCATCGCGCGCGTCGCGACTGACCTACGCGCCCACCGTTGGATTGGGCGGCGATGGGGCCCGCGAGAAGTACCGAGGGCGGGGTTTCGACGGCGCGCTATCCGAAATTTGGAGATAGTGTAGAGTTACTGGATCAAGTTGGAGACGCGCAGTGGGCCCCGCGTGGGAACGCGGGGCGCGCCGCGGAGCACGCGACAGAGTTTGAAGAGCTTACCGTCGGCACCAGGCAAGGAGCAGCGAGGCCGCCAGGGCATCGTCGGAACGGAAGCGACCGACACTGGCGGCGTTTTGAAAGGGTGAGCGTCGCGGAAGGAATGCAGCGACAGCCAGGCCCCAAAGCGTGGGCAACGACGGAAAACCCAGCGATGCTGCGTCCGCGTGGTCGCAGTCGAGCAGTGCGAATGAGGGAGTTTGAGTTGCGCCCGGGCGCGCTGGGCGCAAGAGCCGTCGGCGGGGGCGACGCGCGCCGTGGGCCATGTAGTTTTGGGCGCAGGGCTCGAGTCATGGCGTGGCGACGACGCCGAGGAGATCGCTGCGCTCAAGCGGAGGTGCGGCGTGGTGCGCGCACGGTGGCGCGGTGCG